TCTTGCCTTAAAGTAGCCCATTTAGTTGTTCTTGTAGCCATGGTTTTGAGTCTATGAAGTTCCTGAGCTGTTGTTTGTCTGTGAAACTGTGTGTTGTTCCTTCTATTATGAATGAGAGTCTCACTGGGTAAAGTATTTTTGGGGAAACATTTATTTCATTGAGTCTTTTCACTATGTCCCACCACTGTTTTCGGGCCATGATGGTTTCATCAGAAAAATCAGCTTGGAATTTTAAGGATGCTCCTTTGTAAGAGATTTCTTTCTTCGATCGTGCTGCTTTCAGAATTTTGTCTCTTTCTAAGGTTTTTGGTCATTTTGATAATGATGTGTTATGGGGTATTTTTATTCGGATTTCTTCTAGCTGGTACCCTTCGGGCCTCCTGAATGTGGTCACAAGTTTTCTTCAGCTCTGGAAACGTTGTAGCAATGATGTTTTGACAGTTTCTTCTTCTTCATCAAGGTTTTCTTCCTGTCCCTCTGGGACTCCAATAATTCTTATGTTACCCCTCTTGGCTTCATCAAGATCTTCTCTTGCCATCTGTTCCCGAATTGTGAGTCTCTTTTCCATTTTCTGCTCTTTTCTGGAGAGTCTCTGAACTTCATCTTCGAGCTCACTGATTCTGTTCTCAGCAGCTGTTACTCTGCTGCTGAGGCCTTCCGCTGAGTTTTTCAATTCACCTACCAGATTTTTCAGGTCTGACATTTCTGATTGAATTTTCCTCATTTCTGCCTTCAAATCCTCTTGTCTTCTATTGGCATTGCTTTCCATTGTTTCTTTTAGTTCCCTAAGCATCCTAAGTAGCTCCCTTCTGAATTCCTTGTCAGAGAGGTTGTCTAACACTACAGTACTGTTGGTGTTATCTGGGCCAGACTCTTCAATAAGAAAGTTTGGTGGGCTTTTGTGTTGCTTTACCATTGTGAGAAGTGTGATTTAGTCCTTCACGTTCACTGTTACTATTCTGCTTGATATGCAGTGTGAGTTAAGATAGGCTTATGAGTTATTGGCTGTGTTTCTAGTTCTAGTGGCTGAGCTAAACTAGAGAAGTGTCCATCTAAGAAGGTAGCTTATGGTTCCTATGGTATATGTAGTGGGAGAATATTTCGCAGCCGCTAATGTGGCCGCGGCTCTGGAAAGAGTCTCTGGCACTGGGCGAGGAGTTGGGAACGTCTCCTGGTAGGAATGAGGAACCGTTCAGCTTTGTTGCCCAGTGCTGGGCCTCCGTTCCCGTCCCATGCAGATCAAGGGAGAAAACTGGCTTTCTAGGAAATGGAGCTATCTGCGCAAGCCCAGAGAAAGTCCCAGGCCTTGGGGCCGGGCTGTACCTGGTTGGAATAGTAGCCGTTCAGCTTTGTTGCCCAGAGCTGGGCCTCTGTTCCCGTCTCGCGCAGATCAGCGGAGAAAACCGGCTTTCTAGGAGATGGAGCTATCTGAGCATGCCCAGAGAGAGTCCCAGGCCCTGGGGGCGGGCTGTACCGGGTTGGAATAGGAGCCGTTCAGCTTTGTTGCCCAGAGCTGGGCCTCCTTTCCCGTCTCGTGTAGATCAGGGGAGAAAACCGGCTTTCTAGGACATGGAGCTATCTGCTCATGCCCAGAGAGAGTCCCAGGCCCTGGGGGCGGGCTGTACCTGGTTGGAATAGGAGCCGTTCAGCTTTGTTGCCCAGAGCTGGGCCTCCGTTCCCGTCTCATGTAGATCAGGGGAGAAAACCGGCTTTCTAGGAGATGGAGCTATCTGCACATGCCCAGTGAGAGCCCCAGGCCCTGGGGGCGGGCTGTACCTGGTTGGAATAGGAGCCGTTCAGCTTTGTTGCCCAGAGCTGGACCTCCATTCCCGTCCCGCGCAGATCAGGGGAGAAAACCAGCTTTCTAGGAGATGGAGCTAGCTGCGCATGCCCAGAGAGAGTCCCAGGCCCTGGGGGCGGGCTGTACCTGGTTGGAATAGGAGCCCTTCAGCTTTGTTGCCCAGAGCTGGACCTCCATTCCCGTCCCGCGCAGATCAGGGGAGAAAACCGGCTTTCTAGGAGATGGAGCTAGCTGCGCATGCCCAGAGAGAGTCCCAGGCCCTGGGGGCGGGCTGTACCTGGTTGGAATAGGAGCCCTTCAGCTTTGTTGCCCAGAGCTGGGCCTCCGTTCCCATCCCGCCAAATCAGTTTTCCTCTTTCTTTCCATTCCCAGCACTCAGTTTACATCACAGTAAAAATTGTATATAAGGTGTATTATTCATGGTGTCAAAAGTTTCTGATATTCTATTTTGGATTTGGGTAGAAATATTTCTCAAAACTCGAATTTCACCCCAATTATTCTGCACTTATTTGTTACCAGACTGAATTCTGATAGCCCTCATTAAAATAGCAGTTATTCTCAGAAAGTTTCTTAGAGGAACAGTGAAATTAGTAATTAATGTTTTTAAAAGACCAACTTGAAATGATGAAATCTTTCATTTATAAAGGATTTTGTATTAATTTGAATCAAATATATTTTATTTATAGTTTTTCATTCAAACTGTGAACTCTTTCTGAGTTATTGATTTGGGCACCATATTTGTTTTGTAATCCTTGCTGCTCCTATAGAAGGCTTCTAGGTTGTTTTTTTTAAAAATTTATTTAGTCTTGGTGAATTACACAGTTATTCATGATTGTGTTTTAGACATGCAGTGATTCAACACCTGTCCCTTCACCATTGTCCATTTCCCTCCCCAGTGCCAGACCCACGGCCTTTTCCCTCCCACCCACCAGTCTGCCTCTACGAGAGGTGCTACCTTTATAAATTTTGGCACTATAGTTTACAGTACTGTTACTGATAGGGCTTTGTGCATAGCACTACCTATCAGCTCCCTGGCCCCTGCTCCAGGTCGAACACTTCCTTCCACTACTGTTGCCTCACAGTCCTGTTCCCCCATCTCTCTTCCCCAAGGGTTTTACATCCTACTGAAGATCAACTCGCATGTTTCTTGTGGCAACCGTCTTTGTATTTGTTGTTATTCCATCATTATGTCTCTTTATATCCCACATATGAGAGAGATCATTCTGTGTTGGTCTCACACTCTAACTTTACTCAGTTTGATCTTCTCCAGATGCACACATGTAGTATCAAAGTCCACTCTATTTCCTTAAGGTAAAATAAGAGCATAGATAAACTCATGTAAACTCATGAAGAAAATGGAATGTGAACTTTTTGAAATTGCCTTCTACTGTTTTGTAGTTTTCACAGCTCTTTTGATAGCAGTTCTCTCAGTGTTGAAATCATGGAGCTTTAGTTCTTTAGACATGAACATTCTTTATTATTGTTTATTTTTTTTGGTTCTTGTCATATTACTGATGTAACTCAATAGCAAGTACAGCTCACCAGAACATGCTCTGAAATTCTAATCTCTTTAATATTATTATCAGCTAGGACATATCAATAAAAATTCATTTAAAGATATTTTCAGTATAATCTCTATGTGTAGAGAAATATGAGAAAGCAGTTTAGAATGCTACCTGACAGTAGAGCTCATGGAAAAAACAAGTATTTATAACAGGAATCTAGTTAGCAACATGAACCTCACCCAACCCAGTAGATCAGGAACAGTCCACCAGTGCAACTCTGTTTGTTCCCAAGACAGCCAGATCTTCCTGCTACAGAGTGAAAGACACCAGAGTGAAAGATGGCTGTGTTTGAAGTTCTCTAGGTGAATTTCATTTCATGAACTCTATACATTCACTGATGCTCTCCATCCCTTCTGTAAACAGTCCTTCCCAAATCTCAGGTGATATGTTAATCTGTGATTATTGGTCCATGCATTAGTACCCTTGGGTTACTTTTGCTACAAGTTGAATTGACCTTTACAGGTTTTAGTATGGCGTATCCTAGTCTTGTTTTAAAAGATTTAGAACTTAAATCTAAATCCTTCCACCAGTGTTTCAGGATCTTTTTACCCTATCCAGTGGTCACTTTTTCAGTCCCTTCCACCCACTCAGTTTCCAGTGTCTATTACTTATCCTGTCTAAAGATTTATTCCATTGGGCTTTCCCCTCCCTTCCTCCCTTCCTCCCTCCCCTCCCATCCTCCTCCTACTCCCCCCCTGCCTCCCTCTCCTTCCCTATCTCCCTCTCACCCCTCTCTCCGTCCCTCCCTCCGTCCCTCCCTCCTTTCTTTCTCTCTTTCTTTCTTCTTTCTTTCTTTCTTTCTTTCTTTCTTTCTTTCTTTCTTTCTCTCTTTCTTTCTTCTTCCTTCCATGTCAACTGGAATTTATCTTATACAGTCTCACTTCACATAGCATGATACCTCCTAGTTCTAAGTTGCAGAAAACTGCTAGATTTCATCTTTTCTCATACTGAATAATATTGCATCATGTATATGATTCTGCAGCTTCTTCATCCACTCATCTATTGTTGGGCACTAGGGTTGTTTCTATATCTTGGCTACTGTAATGCTGTGATAAACATAGGTATGCATTTAATTGATGTTTAACTTCTTTTTTGTCTACCTGGGAATTTTATTTGGAATTTAGAAAAGAAAACATGGGAATGTAAAAAAATTCATTGATTTTTCTTTTTTCCTTAAAATGCTGTTTTCAACCACTATGCTGTTTTCAAACCTCCATATTCTTTTTTTGTCTTTTTAAAAATTTTTTAAATTTTTATTAGTGAAACACCATGAGGTACAGTTGTAGACTTATGACTTTTGTGCTTGGGTTTCAGTTATACAATGATCAAGTACCCATCCCTCCACCAGTGCCCATTTTCCACCACCACGGATCCCAGTATCCCTCCCACCCCCAACCTCCCCATCCCACCCTGTGGCAGGGCATTCCTCAAACCTCCATATTCTTTTGCATGCAACACATATACAAGCACCTCTCTCTTCTCCTCCCCCCGCCCCAGTCCATAAGAAAATATATGTTTGGCAATAGCTTGCAGCTACAGAGTGGAAAGGTATCAGTGTGAGTTTGTTGCCAGCAAACTGAAGACTGTGTGAGAAAGAGACAGATGATCTGATTGCTCTGTAATCTCCTTTGCAGAACTGGCTGACGGAGCTGGAGATCTTTGCGATAATCTTCTCAGCTGCCATCCATGACTATGAGCATACCGGAACCACCAACAATTTTCACATTCAGACTCGGTGAGGATATTTCAGTGTTTGGAGATGAGGCAAAGGGATCAGGGAAAGAGTTTTGGCAGAAAGAGAGGTGTTTGTCACTTTTATTTTCCTTTGCATGGTTGCTCTCTTTTGCATTTCTGAGAAACAAAATGGATTTAAAATGAGAGATTGGTGAGTCAGCTTCAATTAAGAATTAGAATTTAAGAAGCCATCTGCTCCTAATTCTTATATTTTATTCACGCCCTGTGTCAATACCATCTTTTTTGTCCTTGTTATTATGATGCTAGCTGTTTGTTGATTTATGTATATACAGTGCATACTTTATTTCCCAAAGGAGGCGGAATAGTTTACATAGTGATGTAAATGCCATGTAAACAAAATCAGGACAAGAGGGGATTGGATGGTTTCTATTGGCATTAACAATAATTGAATAATAACCTGCTCTCTGGGTACCTGGTGATGTTCTTCCCATCTGATGTCTTCTCTGCTCAGTTTAGTGCTTATGTTGGCCCCTGGCAAGTGCTTGGGGCAGTTAGACCATCTCATGCAAATGTCTCCACCATGTGTCCTTTCTAATGAGCAGCACAGGTGAAAACAAACCTTGAGGGAGATGTTTAATATGACCCAAGTGCCCCCCACCAAACCTGTTGACTCTAGTAAATATCACCAATCAACTTTGGTATATATTTTTCTCATCATGTTATGGTTTTACCTTTCGTATTTGTGAGCATAGAATTCCATTGGTGAAAATCCAATGGAATTGCATGAGGACAGGGGTTGGTGATAAGCATGGTTGACATGAAGTAAGGAAAACAGTTGTACGTGGATCTCTACTGGGATTTAATAGGGTGGAAGTGGACAAAAGGATGTGAGCTGCTCCCTGCATTTTTTGGTCTTGCTCTACTCTCAGCTTCTCTGTCCTCTCTGGCCTAAACACTTGCTTTCTCTTAAGATGGTGATACAAAATGGAGAGAATATGACAGTAGGCCTGAGTCTTAACATGGGGATTTTAAAAGCTAGACTCTTGGGCCAAGTAGCAAAGCAGAGACAAAGAACCATGCAGGGAGGGATGAGAGTTCAAACACCCAATAAATATTTTCCTATTAATTCGAAAAAGCAGGTGCACACTCCAGATAAATTTGTACTCACAAAAGCAGTTTCCGTGTATTTAATGAAGCCAACACTTAATTATGAAACTTAAAAAAGAAGACAATATTATCTGATCCCTATTCAGAAGGGGATTTAATAGGGTGGAAGTGGACAAAAGGATGTGAGCTGCTTGCTGCATTTTTTGGTCTTGCTCTACTCTCAGAGTAGACTCGGCTGCTGTGAAACAGCGTTTAATAGTTCTGTCACAAAGATCTACTTCACAGTCCTGGACATTCATGGAATTCCACAGAGCAGCTCTGGCCAATGGCTATTTGCAAGTGGAACCCTTGCTCTGAGGACAGGGGTTGGTGATAAGCATGGTTGAAAAGAAGTAGGGAAAAGAGTTAGTTGTACATGGATCTGGTGTGAAAGCCACTATCAAAATCAGTTTTCATTCAGAGAGAAATGGCTTAATTATAGAAATTGGAAAAGGGCAATATGACAAAATATAAGTCCACTGGAGCTTTATTTATTTATTTATTTTTGCTTTTTGGGTCACACCCGGCAATGCACAGGGATTACCTCTGGTTCTGCTCTCAGGAATCATCCCTGGCGGTGCGCAGGGGCCATATGGAATGTTGGGAAGCGAACCCAGGCTGGCTGCAAGCAAGGCAAATGCCCTTCCTGCTGTGCTATTGCTCCAGCCCCTCCACTGGAGCTTTACATAGCAAAAAAGATCAGATCTTTCGCCTCAGGCTTTTTGTGGTTGATATAACCTCTACTGGAGAAGGAAATTCCAATGGTTTTTCAGTTAAGCATGGTTTGGAATAAAATTTAGACACTGGCCTTCAACAGAATGTTATCCTAAGCATTTCAGCTCTTGTGATTCTTTTTCAGTAAACTGAGTCTTTGATCAGGTTCATTGCCCTTTGATGGACAAAATGTTGTCTTAAACTTTAAACTTATGCTGAATATAGTCCCAAACTTGGCCAGTGATAGGTGAATGTTACTTGTTTGGGGAGACATGGGGAATTGGGGCCACTTCCCGCCATGCTCAGGGTTTAATCCTGGCCTTTGTGTTTGGGAGTCACTCCCAGCAGTGTTTGTGGGGCCATATGTGATGCTGCAGGTGAAGTTGGGGTTGGCCACGTACCAAGAAAGCACCTTAACTTTTGTTCTATCTCTCTAGTTTTGAAAGTTATTTTACAGTTAAGTAGCTTGCTTTCCAAGGGGAGGGGTGGAATTGGGGCAGGGGTACTGGGAACACTGGTGGTAGAAAATGTGCACTGGTGGAGGGATGGGTGTTCAATCATTGTATGACTGAAACTCAAACATGAGAGTTTTGTAACTGTATCTCACAGTGGTTCAATAAAAATAAACAAATAAATCTAGGAGGATATTGCCTTTATAAGAATTTGGTAAGAAGATGTCTAAATTTATTTGGAGACCATTTTTTATGCAGTTGATATATTATCATATATTTGAAATGGAATAAATAGCATCTGATTATAAATATTTAAAATAAAACATTTAAAATGTATTAGAAAACCTAAGAAAAAAATACCCAAAGATCTTGCCTTCATCTCAGCCTAGCTTCTTATTTACTGTGGAGTTTGAAAAACTCACTCCAACTTACTTGATAAGAAATGAATAATCTCTAGCTAATCTAAAATTTCATCTTAAATTATGTGCTGAAATAATATAGTTCTATGTTTGGTGTCATTTGGGTATGCAGTAGTCTTGAAGAAAGTGACTAGCAATTGCCATGTAATCTTTATATTCTTTAGTCTCAATTTTCTATGCTTAGCATGCTAAACATTTTGGGAGGATGATCCTCATCAGTGCTCAATGAACCACAGGCTGTTTTCTACAATTCTCAGTCAGCAAGATGGGCCAGTTGTGCTGAGAATCCCTCTCATGGTTGAGTGACCTCCAGGGTAACACCCAGCTGCGTTCAGGGGACTTGTGGGGTGAGGTCTGGAATCCGAGACAGGCACATGCATAACTAACCCCTGTGCTATTTTCCCATTCCTTTCAATGCCAAGTTTTAAGATCAAGCTAGTAACAGAAAACTTGTAAACTATAGAGAACTGTGACTAGAATAAGAGTTTTACTAAGCCAAATAAAAACCTGAACAATAAGTGTAATAGCTTAAGTAGTAGACACCTGTCTCGGGTGTGGGTCCCTGTGTTTCTTATTTGGCACCTTGTGACTCCACAGCGCCTGAGCACAAAACCGTCAGGCCCAAACCACTGGGCTAAGAATGCCAGAATTGATCCCAGGATCACCTACCCACACACTATGAGGTGTAGCTTCTATAAAACAGATATATTTTTAAATTAAAAAGTAATTTCAGAAAATTTTGAGAAACTTAATTTTTTATTAATATTTTAATTGAATTACAGTGATATACATAGTTACGAAGTTGTTCATGATTGGGTTTCAGTCATACAATGTTCCAACACCCATCCCTTCACTTTCCACCACCAATGGTCCCAGTTTCCTTCCCGCTCCCCCACCCCCACCCTGCCACTTGCCTCTATAGCAGGCAATCCCCCCCTCGCCCTCCCTCCTCCTCCCTCCATCTCTCTCTCTCTATCTCTCTCTCCCTTTCTTTCCTTTTGGGCCTTATGGTTTGCAAATACTGAAAATGAAAGGTTATGGGAAATTTTATTTGACCTGCATTTTAAAAACAACTTTTCTATTAGTCCAGATAATTGAGAGAAAGTTAGCCAGATAATTGAGAGGAGATTAGGAAAGAGTTTTCAAAGAATTTTCAGGTTATATAGAACATATTTTGTACTCGCATATTGACATTGATACTTTCCATCCATCTATCTTTTATTTGTAGGGTACCCTGAGATATGGTCAGCAGAACTAATATCTAAGGGTGCTGAAGCAAGGGAAGGATCAATGGGGTAACAGGGGAGGACGTCATATAGCAGCAATATAATAATAAAATAAGAATATTGGTACTACTGTGAATAACCAAAAAATATACAGCGTGCCAGCCTTTTTGGTTGATATAAACAGTATGCAGACAAAGATCATCACTGAGTGTAGAACGGAAGATTCAGTCTGCCTTGGACAGTTCTACAAAAAAAATCCCATTGTTGCACATCCTGAATTACTCTGCTTGTCTCTCTGTTCAGATCTGATCCAGCTATTCTGTACAATGATAGATCTGTATTGGAAAATCACCACTTAAGTGCAGCTTACCGCCTTCTGCAAGAGGATGAGGAAATGAATATCTTGATTAACCTCTCAAAGGATGACTGGAGGTAAGGATAAGATGAAGAGATTTGGAGGCCAGGGACAGACTGTGAGATAAAATTTGCTACTTCTGAGGAAGTAATATTCTGTCTAAAAATTGTATTGCTGCTTCTCTCCCACTTCACTGCCGCTTCACAAATATTCAAGTACCTTGTCAGCACTTTGAAAATTGGTGTTGCTTGTTTTCTTAGGAAATGGTGTTGTTTTTAATATTAGTTTTTTAAATCTGAGTTTTAGCATATAATATTTGTTTTTCACCTCTTACATGATTTGAATTTCTGAAATATTCTCTCAGTATGTTTAAAGAAAATTAGTTTGACACCACCCAAAATATCACAGACCAGGTAATCCCCTTGCTGAAAACACATTTCCTTCTTGAATTTAGCAGCACCTGAGTTTGGTATGAACATAGCTGCTCACCAGTCTGTGCCATGTAGGAAGTTATTCAATGTCTTCAAATCTTTCATGTTTTAATTCCTAGAAAAGAGATACCATTTTAGCAGTGTTTTGGTTAGGGTCATCATAAATAATACTACCTGTTTAAAATATTCATCTTGCACTCTGACATATAGAGCAAGCCTGCAAAGCATTGTAGCTATAAACACAGATTAGGGTATTAAAAAACTTGTAGTCAAAATTATTGAATTCTTTCAAATTCTTGTATCATTGTGCTGCAGATCGTATTTGTATTTTCATTAAATTGTTGTCTGTTGATTGTTTTTCTGCTGGTCATTATCTAAAGGTTCAGAGAAATAAGGCATAGAAAACCATTAATTTGGAACTAATTTCTAGTAAAACTTGCCAATTAGTTTGAATTCAACTCCAGTGTTTTAAAACATAGAGGAGTATTCTGCTGGATTTTATGGGAAAGTAGTTTAAAGCATTTAAAAAGCAGTTTTTCAGGTGATCAGTGCATCTTATGGGGGAAAAAAACCCTCTATCCAATTCAGTTGCTAAGAAAGGTATTTTATAAACAATTTTAAAATAGTAAAGAACTGTTTTAAGCATATTCTTATACCTCGTGGTTTTGAAGAAATTTTGTGAGAGATTGTTCAAATAATGAACATTCCGGCCTTTCTGAAAAGTCAAAAAAGAACCCCACAGCCCCTCTAGTTATTGTATTTACAAAGAGTGAAGATGCCTCCTCCATGGTCTGTATTTTTGCTAAGAATTCCTTACTTGTGTTCAACTATAGTTTTGCCAAAAATTTAGCCTTATTGTTTGTAAGTTTACTCTAACATAGAGTATGACTCTTATACTTTACTGGTAGGTTTGTGAGACCTGAGTTGGCAGTGTATAAATCCAGAATCACTAGGCATGACTATGACATGTTAGTTCACATTGAACTCACTGGTGTACATCAGGGAAACTGTGCTAATAGTTTATCATTAGCTCCACATTATCATTTATGGGTATTCATAAAGTACCAGTTGTAAGTTTGATTATTACCTGTGATCAGAGCAAGTTATAAGATTAGCAAAACATGGTCAGTTTAGTATAAAAGAGACTAAGGCCCTGGAGAAATACTTCAAAAGGTCAGAGCATTTTCCTTGCATGCAGGAACTAGCCCACTGACATTTTATGATCCCTGAGCATTGCTTGGTATATTCCTGAATGATCTCTACACTAGGCACAAGTACTGGGATGGACCAGAAACAAGGGCCAGAGCTCCAGTGCATCCCTGGGATTAAGCATTGAATTGTCTGGTCTGGTTGGAACTTATCTCTGTAAATGATCTCAGGATCCCTGAGCACTGCTTGGAAGCACACCACCCCACCCCTGGTGTTTTTTTTTTTTAATAATGTAAGAGCACTACTGTTTATTCAGCTATTGATTAAGCTGATTGAATTGGGTATGGACTCCACATTATTTTTTTTAATTGTCTAATTTTATAAATTAGTTCGCAATGTTTGATTACATTCAATATTCAAACACCAATCCCACCATCATTACACCTTCCCTCCATAAAATTCGGGATGTTTCCATCCCAAACCCTAATCCCTGTGTCAAAACACAACCAAAATAATATATTTCATATTGTCTGTTATGAAGAACAGCTAGCATGCTTACAAAAAAGTGTTCATATAGGAAACAGAGTGAAAATTGTACTATTTTGGCAGGAGCCATTAAGACATTCTATGGGATAAAGGTAAAAAGGTAAAGGCCCTCCCGTTGTTCATCAATTTGCTCGAGCGGGCCCAGTAACGTCTCCATTGGAGACTTTGTTGTTACTGTGTTTGGCATATCGAATCCATCACAGGGAGCTTGCTAGGCTCTGCCCTGCGGGCGAGATACTCTCGGCAGCTTGCCGGGCTCTCCGAGAGGGGCGGAGGAATCGAACTCGGCTCGGCCATGTTGGCTGCGTGCAAGGCAAATGCCCTACTGCTGTGCTATCACTCCAGCCCATATTCTATGGGATATCACTAACAAATTGTTAAGGTTTGGGTGATGTGAGCTTTGGTATATATATCTGAAAATACATATATATGCATATATATTTCCCTCTATGATTTGTTACCTACTATCTGAACCCCATCAAATGTGGTGTGGTAATTATGGAGAATGGGTAGGGAGTGTTTTATGATGTGTCACGTGACCTCTTTCATGGCCACGCGGTCCAGGAATATGTTTACTCATATCTGAGACTTGGCCCAAGCACGTGGGGAGCAGCCTTGAGCATAGCAGTGGTGGGTTGTGGAGGATTTGGGCTGCCGGAGTTGGGTCCCTTGGGGCGGGGAGGGCGCTCACCTGTCTCCCTCTGAGACGCCCCCCCCAATTTTTTTAAGAAAAAAATATTGTTTATATCTACTCATTTAAAGATATAATGAAATATGCTCATATACTAGGCTTATGTATTTGTCTTTATTGGTTGAAAACAATTTTATTATCTCTAGGAGTGGAATATATTTGAATTAGAACTATAGAGTGTCTCAGATAAACATACTAACATTTTATTGCTAGCGTATGTAGCACCATGCTTTGGTTTTACTCTCTTTTGTGTGGGTGATGATTTTCTAATGTAAGTTACGCAAATTGAGGGTGCTACTCTTTTCCATTTAGAGCTTTAAAATGTTTTATTTTTATATTTATTTAATAATGTTTGTGTGCAATTTATCAAGACAATATTATCACAATATAGTCATTATATTGTAATGAATATAAATTATATGATAAGATAATAAATTAACGTTATTTAGGGCTCTTAGTCTGTTAAGTCTATTAGTCCCAAAATAATTAGTGATGGGTAGGTATTATGTCTTTCTAAGAAAGCAAATTTAATATCTGATTTTTGTTTTGTTACATAAATACATTAGACTTTTTAGGGCCTTTGATTAAGTCACTAGATATTTATTAACTTTTAAAATTTGAAAGAGGCTGGAGCAAAAAGTACAGTGGGTAGGATGCTTGCCTTGTATGCAGCCTACCTGGATTCAATCCCATGCATCCTCCCATGTGGTCCCCAGAGCCGTGCCAGGAGTGACCCCTAAGTGCAACTGGGTGTGGCACAGTAGCAAATATACAAAACAAACAGATAAAAAAAAGTCCAAAGTGGAGTTACATGGAAAACCACTTTTGGTATAACAGATAGGCTAATACAATGACCACGTGTGGGCAAAATACAAAGATGTAGAACCACCTAAATGCAGTCTGGTTCGGAGCAGCAACACTTAGTGAGTAATGCTATTTATAACTGTACAAAATGCTCCACCATCTTTCTGGATGAACAGCCACATATCTGTGGGAGAGTAAGTTGGAATCACAGAAGAGTCAAATAGAAATACTAATTCTATATATTGACCATGTTTAAGTATCCTGCTGATTTTGAACCCAAAATATATGGACCAGACTGATCTGGGATTTGTATTTTGAATCAGTACAGAATTTGTTTTTTGAATCAAATAGGTTAATTGACCATTAGTACAAAAATAACAGTTCTGTTCTGAGCAATATTAGTGTGGTATCTAAGCTAAAACAGTAATTTTGAGGATGCAATCTAAATGGCACGCACAGATCAGGAAACAGACTTCTTCGCAAAAGAAAAGACAATCAGTAGTACAGTTCAAAGATGTTGGAATGATTAGATAAAAAATTTTGAAACAGTTCTTATGCCCAGTGAAGTAAACCATGATTGCAATAAATAAAGCACAATAAAATTCATCAATAAAGTGAGAATATAAGCAAGAGCAAGCAGAACTTTAGAACTAAAATGCAAAATACCTAAATTTCTAGTTTATGACATTGATTAAGTAGAATGCTGGAAAACACAGAAGAAAGAATCAGTGAACTTGAAAAGATAGATAAACCGTGGTATGTAGGATACTAGATGTCATCAGTTATACGGATGATATGGGACAGCGATGGGGAGGGAACATGGGAACACTGGTAGAGGAAATTGACATTAGCAGTGGAATTTGTGTTGAAATACTGCCTAAAACATAACAGTCAACTTTGTAAGTCACATTCTTTAATTTAAAAAATGAAAAATAAAGATCAATTTGAGGAACAAAGGAAAGTTTTTGGGGGGCACGGGGGGCTATAAACCAATAATATGTGGTTTATATTATTAAATTATAACATGGCCGACCCGAGTTTGATTCCTCTGCCCCTCTCGGAGAGCCTGGCAAGCTACCCGTGATGTATTCGATATGCCAAACACAGTAACAACAAAGTCTCCAATGGAGACGTTACTGGGCCCGCTCAAGCAAATCGATGAACAACAGGAGGACAGTGACAGTGACAGTGATGACCAAAATTAAGGCAAATGGCATACTATGGTGAGGTTATTTGCATGTATTATCGTTGCAAAGTCTCAAGTAATGGAAATATTTTCACTACTTAAAGTTGTTTGTAAGTCTGTGCTTCTGTGTTGCTATGTGATTTCTGATATCAAGACATCTAGTTCAAGATATGTATTTGTGTGTATTCCCTGTACATATATTCATATATTCATCAACACATCTATGTCTTTAGAACATTTACATTTTCTACCATTATATATAGCTATGGGCTAGAGTGACAGCACAGCGGGTAGGCCGACCCGGGTTCAATTCCTTCGCCCCTCTCGGAGATCCTGGCAAGCTACTGAGAGTATTCTGCCCGCATGGCAGAGCCTGACTAGCTCCCCGTGGCATATTCGATATGCCAGAAACAGTAACAACAAGTCTCACAATGGAGACGTTACTGGTGCCCACTCAAGCAAATTGATGAACAACAGGAGGACAGTGACGGACAGCGATGGATATGTAGCTATATGTAGGAAAAGCAAATGATCTAGTGAGATCTAAGGTTTCCTAGAACCTGTGTGCAGAGGGCAGGGTTAATTACTAAAGGGTTGAAGGTAATGGAAATTTGCAGTATTATATTGTGGTGGTGTTCAACTGCTAAAACTCATCATATTGTACATTTTAGGTGGAATCAGTTTATCGGATGTAAATCATACTTCAATAACATTTCTAGAGACAGCAGATAAAGCAGTTTGGTAATTACTGGGGAAGGTCAAGAGGAGTGAATAACTAAAGGACAGGGAAATTTAGACTCTTGAAATTATGGTGTGTGAAATTGTAATGCTGGATACATGACATGCATTTGTCAAAACTTGGAGCTTTGCAACATGACCAGTGAAATGGAATCTAAACTATGGACTTGAGTTAACTTAATTTTTTAATGTTGGCTTATTAGTTGTAACAAATGTACCATACTAATGCAACAAAATAATAATCATGATAATAATAAGGGAAGCTCTGCAGGAGATGGGAAATATATATAGGGGCTCTCTGTACTGTTTGGAATTGTTTTCTCAGAATTTTCCAAATGACATATGCACTCTGTATATTTATGACAAATGAACTCAAATACATGGCCTAGTAGTGTCAAAATAGATTAAAAATGTCACATATAATTAACTTTGACTCAGCAAGAAAACTCATTTTCACTTTCCATTTGTAAACATTCTGTTCTTTTTTTTCCCTCCATGGCATATCTCTAAAAGGGAGTTTCGGACCTTGGTGATTGAGATGGTGATGGCCACGGATATGTCTTGTCATTTCCAACAAATCAAAGCAATGAAGACTGCCCTGCAGCAGCCAGAAGCGTGAGTAGACCTGTGACATCGTGCTGCTTGTATGGGTGCCAGGACTGGTAATGATGCTGATGCGCCTTAAAAGCACATCCACAGAACTTTGAGTGGTCTCATCAAGGGGCATTTTCACAGCAAAGAGCTTCCTGTTGTACATGCTACTGGTAGGGCCCCATCAGGATCAACAGAGATCATAGGTCAGAAACATTTTCCCTCCACTGTAATTCAATATTTCCCTTGCGAAGCTAATGAGTCACTCATCAGAGGCTACCCATACAAATCATTCTTTATGTCTTTTTGAATACTGCAGTCATCGCAGAAATAGTCCACTTTTGAGATGTCCAGTTCAATACACAGGGAAACCAGGCTGAAGCATATTGAAATTATAGGATGAAATGATGCATTTTGCCAAGTCAGCTGAAGTCTGGTTTAAAATGGAAGAATGGAAGGGATGACATTTCACAAATTTTTCTCTTACTGAGGTTCTGACAGTTTGGTCCTTATCTGTTCTTGTTCTTTGGGTTTCAGAATTGAGAAGCCCAAAGCATTATCCCTGATGTTGCACACAGCAGACATTAGCCACCCAGCAAAAGCTTGGGAGCTCCATCATCGCTGGACAATGTCTCTCCTGGAGGAATTCTTCAGACAGGTATCTTGCTGCTATACTACTAAGGGCTGTTATCATCAGTGGGTATTTTCTGAATTTCCTATTTAAGCAATGCAAAAATAAGTACTATTGCTTGAGATTGCAATAATTTGGAGGAGTGAGGGAGGGATTGTAGCCTTTTACTTTACACTTCTAATCATGTAATGTCCAAATTTTGACTAAAATCTGATTCTCAGAAATTATGTCAGTCCTGTCCTGTGCATTTATATTTGGGCATGAATACATTTCTTTTTTTTAATAATTTTTTTATTAGTGAAACACCATGAGGTACAGTTGTAGATTTACAATTTTTTGTGCTTGGGTTTCAATTATACAATGATCAAATACCCATCCCTCCACCAGTGCCCATCTTCCACCACCATGAATAATATCCCTCCCACCCCCATCCCCCCGTCCCCACCTGCCTCTGTAGCAGGGCAATCCCTTGTGTTCTCTCTCTCCTTTTGGGTGTTGTGGTCTGCAAAAGAGGCATTGAGTGGCAAACATGTTCAGTCCATAGTCTGCTATCGACATGCATCTCCCCTCCTGGGAAAATCCTCTAAACACCCTTTATTTGGTGCTCCCTTCTCTATCTGAGCTGCCCTTTCCCCTAGAATGCCCGGCTGGCCTCTAAGCTATGGAGTAATCCTCCTGGTGCTGATCTCAGCTATTCTTGGGTATTAATCTCATATTTTGTTACTTTATATCCCCCAGATGAATGCAGTCTTTCTATGTCTATCCCTCTCTTTCTGACTCATTTCACTTAGCATGATACTTTCCATGTTGTACCACTTGTATGTAAATTTCATGACTTCATCTTTTCTCACAGCTACATAGTACTCCATTGTGTAGATGTACCAAAGTTTCTTTAACCAGTCATCTGTTCTTGGGCATTCAGGTTTCTTCCAGTTTCTGGCTATTGTGAAGAGTGCTGCAATGAACAAACAAGTGCAGATGTCACTTCGACTATACATTTTTGCCTCTCTGGGATATATTCCCAGGAGTGGGAGTGGTATTGCTGGATCAAATGGGAGCTCAATTTCTAATTTTTTGAGATTCGTCCATACTGTTTTCCAGAATGGCTGAACTAGTCGACATTCCCACCAACAGTGAAGGAGTGTCCCTTTCTCGCCACATCCACGCCAGCATCGGTTGCTTTTGTTCTTTTGAATGTGGGCCAGTCTCTGAGGTGTGAGATGGTATCTCATTGTGGTTTTGATCTGCATCTCCCTGATGATTAATGATGTAGAGCATTTTCTCATGTGCTTTTTTGCCATTCGGATTTCTTCTTTGAGAAAGTTTCTGTTCATTTCATTGCCCCATGGTAGTTTTGTAAAAAATATCATCTAAAGGGCTCTTTTGCTTGTTGTTTTTTCCTAATGGACTGCTGGTTACCTCTACATTGACTATGAGAATAAGGAACTCACATCTCTATTATAATTAGTCTCAGTGTTTCTTTGGAACAGGCAGACCTACTCATTCTTAAGATTCTGGTATGAATGGGGAAATGGTAGAAGACATCTTTGTGGCTTTCATTTTCTTCTTTCCTAATATTCATACCTGACTAAAATTAGAAGCAGATTAAATAGAGTCCCTTTACACAAGTTTTTATTCCTATTGGCTTGTAGCCCAAAACTCATCAGATCACTCATCTTCTTTCTTCTCAATGGTCTTATATGTGATTTGTTTTTGTTGAAGGGATTTGAAGGTTATGTTTGGACCAAATGGTTTCTTAAGGTCCTTCTAACATTAAATGTTTGCAGTTTGCTTCATTCTGTCCATGTCAGCCCAAGCAGAAACTCACATGAACTCCAAGTGGCTAGATGAACACACAGGCAGATTCCTGTCTAGCATCTATTTTTCTTTGCAAAGTCATCTCTTAGCCTCACAGAGGAGTTTTCAAGGTGTAATCCATTGGTGTGGGAGAATAGCAACTATTTAAGTGTGGCCCTGTTGTATATTCAGGAAAGCCACTGCAAATTCTTTCTTAATGGAGGTCTATTTTGAGTCACTTTTCTGGAGCTCTTTTTCTAATAGCAATGACAACATTTTCTTTGAATATTCACTACACTTATTATATGTTTTATATGACATTGATTTTGCATTAATATTCTCTTGCAACCAGGAATAAATATTTAACTTGTAGCCAGAGTAGACCATAGTTACCTCATACAAGTTTGAGGTATTGAAGAAATCTGTGAAACGTGTGCATCCTTATTTGTGAGTGCATAATGTTTCAGTGAAATGAAAATATGCTATGTGTGATGTGAAAGTAACCAAGTGAATTTCTTGCCTATGAGGAATGGAATATAGCTAACTGGATTGGAGTTTTCTTTTTTAGTAATTATGATTTAGTAAATTATTTTTATTGATTTCATATTTTAACCCAGATGCCATTAGCCGTTATAAGTAATTCATGTTGTAGAAATGTTGCCTCAGTTCCTAACTATAGATTTTAAATTGGTCAATTCAAACAGGAAATCTCACTGGATCTGTGGAGTCTTTGAAAACAATTCCACTTGGAACGTTAGGCTATTTTTATATACATTTAATTTATTTTTTTGTCTATGTTTTAAAATAAGGTTATGACCCCAATGTTGGTATACAAAGCATGCTTTGTTAGAAATAGTATTGCATTATGTCTTTTTGTAACTATATTTTTCAAAATCCCAATCACTGCTTCTGGGTATTTTTCAATGAAATATTGATATTAAAAAATCATGAATTTGCTACCTCCGTAAATAAATCTTATAAAAATCTTGAGGGCTTGAGGGTGTGTGTGTGTGTGTGTGTGTGTGTGTGTGTGTGTGGTGTATGTGTGTGTCTCTGTCTGTGTGTTTTAAAAAAGTTTAGACTAAAAATGTTATGCAGTGCATGTTTCATTTGTTTGAAATCTGGGATTGAATCTCTAGCACAAAAATATACTTACTTAATGACAATCATTTTTTTTATTGGAAGGAGTCACACTCAGCTTGGCTCATGCATAATTCTGGTTCTATGCTCAGGGTTCACTCCTGGCTATGCTTTGGGGACCATAAGCAATACCAGGAGTCTAACCTGAGTTAGAGTCAAGGCAAGTGACTTACTCTGTACTGTCTCTGGATTCTGAATAATAAATTTTAAAAATATGTACCTGTGATGTATTCGATATGCCAAACACAGTAACAAGTGTCACAATGGAGACATTACTGGGCCCGCTCAAGCAAATCAATGAACAATGGGAGGACAGTGACAGATCCAAATATATTATACCATCCTTTTAAATATTTTACCTGTGTTATTTCTCCATTTTTAATTTCAAGTCATTATTTTTTTATTTTATTCTATGGAATTAGAGCATTGATTATTTTATTATGTTTAATGCCTTAATTCATTTTTCATTTTTATTTATTCTGCTTGGTTGTATTATATTCTTTTACTAACTCTGAGTTAGTTCTTTAAATCACTTGTTTTTATTTGGCCTAATTCATTTTATGACATGTAAAACTAGCAATTAGTTTTTATGATAAATATTAGGTTATAATGTGCTATGTTCACATTTTTAAATACTCTACAATTTGTTTTTTATTACACTTTGCCCAAAAATTGCTTCAAATTGAGGCAATTTTTTTTAAAAAAGTATCTTTCCAGTGAGGGTTAGGGTTATTTTATGATTTCTAGTCTTATAATTTATTGGGATTTTCTCAAAGAAAATTTTCTAGATTGCTCATGTGAATAGTGCTCATGGCTCTAGAAAAACAGATTTATTTTCTATATGCAAGGTAAAGAATTCAAAGAAAACCATGTATATCTCCCATTTACTTATCATTTAGGTATTCGATGCATCATTTTAAAAAATGATCTATGGTGGACTAACAATATGTTTTTATCATTTTTCTCTCAACCCATTGTAATTTTTGCCTTGGAAGTATTGTTTGGCCTTAATTATGAGACCTTCATAATTTTTCATTGTTACTGATTATCGATATAAAGTCTGCTTCTTTGTCACATGTAATGTGTTTTTTTCCAGTAGAAGTCAGTTTCTACTCATTTTAAAAATATGATTTTTAATCTGATCAATCCCTACTTGATCTCTTGCATCATTATGGTTCCCTGGTACTACCAGGAGTACTTTACCAGGAGTGACTGTTGAGCACAGAACCAGGAGTAATCCCTGGACACTGCTGAGTATGACCCCAAATAAACCAACCAAAAAATTAATTATGACCCCTGCACAGCACAGCACATCACTTTTTTTTCCCTTTATTTTATTTTATTTTTTTAAAGTTGTAGATTTACAATTTTTTGTGCTTTGGTTTCAATTATACAATGATCAGATACCCATCCCTCCACCAGTGCCCATTTTCCACCACCATGGATAATATCCCTCCCACCCCCATCCCCCCATCCCCCCTGTCTCTGTGGCAGGGCAATCCCCTGTGTTCTCTCTCTCCTTTTGGGTGTTGTGGTCTGCAAAAGAGGCATTGAGTGGCAAACATGTTCAGTCCATAGTCTACTTTCTACATGCATCTCCCCTCCTGGGAGGATCCTCCAAACATCCTTTATTTGGTGCTCCCTTCTCTATCTGAACTGCCCTCTCCTCTAGGATACCCGGCTGGCCTCTAAGTTATGGAGTAATCCTCCTGGTGCTGATCTCAGCTATTCTTGGGTATTAATCTCATACTTTGTTACTTTATATCCCCCAGATGAATGCAATCTTTCTATGCCTATCCCTCTCTTTCTGACTCATTTCGCTTAGCATGATACTTTCCATGTAGTACCACTTGTATGTAAATTTCATGACTTCATCTTTTCTAAGAGCTACATAGTACTCCATTGTGTAGATGTACCAAAGTTTCTTTAACCAGTCATCTGTTCTTGGGCATTCAGGTTTCTTCCAGTTTCTGGCTATTGTAAAGAGTGCTGCAATGAACAAACAAGCAGCACATCACTTTTAACCTGTTTGGAGGGACACTGATTTGGATATGTCTTTTAAACATTATTCTTATTTGAGATCTTTTATG